GGGGGGGGTGGATCACCTTGTATGTCCTTTCATTCTAAGTACATGTACTTATACACTCCATATCAACAGATGTCAGTCTATTTATACTACATAAATATGACACTTTTTTCTCATCGTTAAATCTGGAATTTGTTGAGTAATATCCCTGTTTACACGTTGCCAGTGCGTCTAAAAACGGAACCCACTTAAGAAAGAGTCGTCAAGGAGTTGAAACAGGTTCATACTTTAGTGTGATGTTGGCTGTGATAAAAGTGTTCTCACAAATAAAGATATTGCTTCTCATAGAAAACAAAACAAAATATGAAGGAAACAAAAACAAACAGAACAGACAAGCCTCATCATAACAACAACAACAACAACAGCAACAACAACAACAACAACAACAAGAACAACAACAACTACAACAACACATTTTAGGGTGAACGTTTTTAGCACTTTGCACCTTAATTAAAAAAAGCAGGAAGGAGTACTGTAGTTTGAATCACGAGTTGCGCTCTCTATACGTGAGTTCTCTGGGTTCCCATAGCTCTCCCCATACTGTGGCCTCGTCCTATCGGAAGAAGACTTCAAATAGGATATCGGTTATCTTACATGACGTTACCGTTATTGAAAGGGAGAGTATTTAAACGAAACTTGTCAAGGTTTTGATGGTAGAAGGAGAAGACCCATCAAAAGTGCAAATAGATAAGTGACTGACACACAGTTGAAGAAGCCGCAAAAGCCAAGAGCTTCTAACAAACTTTTGCTCACAACAGGGTACAGAATCGCTATGAAAATGCCGGGAGCAGCCACTAAGCCATAGACCAACATGAAATCGTCCTTATTGAAGTACCGGTATATTCCCACGGGCACAGTGGCGTAGGCGCCAATGGCAGTGCTGGTGATTGCGACATTCCATAAGAGGTAGACCCATTTGTTAAGGAACTGTGTTAAGCACTGGTTGGAAGTGAGGAGAATCATGGCCGACTGTAGGATCACGACGAGTGTCTTGGTGGTACATCTGTCGGACAACACGCCCCAGGGTGGGCGCGCCACCAACGTCATCACAGAAAACGATGTCCCCACCAAGCTCAGGAAGTGATCGTCATGGATGAAGCCTGCGCCGAATTGTTTATAAATGTCCGCTTGCGTAATGTACCCGATTTCAGCAACCCCCCAAGTCACGCAAAGTACGTAAAATTCTTTTTTGCTGTACACTTCGTACAGTTTCTGTATGTTTATCCATTTACTTTTGTTTTCGTTATTCTCATCTTCTTGTCTCTCCTTATCAGTCTTACGCGTTGGTTTAAGACCCGCATTTTGTGCCTTCTGAAACCTGGCATTTCCACTTTGATCAGTGTTTCGAATGTCTCCGTTACTCACATCCTCGTCATCTGAACTCGAAGTACCAACATAAACCATAGTTTTGTTCCTCTGAGCGCCTTCTGCGTCCAACAGCAAACTGGTTTCTTTATTGATGTTCCAGTCGGTATCTAGATTTCTTGATTCTTTGGCGAACACGCCTGTAGGATTGTCTTCTTCCGCTCTTCCATACATGGTGTGGTTAATGGTAAAAGACTTGTCTGTCATAACGTCATTCTGTGTGTTCGGGGAGTCGTTGCCTGGACTGGGGTCTCGTAACATCATCAGTGCTATGACGTGTACAGCGGCAAATACTCCCGACAGCACCAGGAACAAGTATGGAACTCTGGGAGAAATATAGAACACAAAGAGAGTTCATTGTGAGGTAGATTATTGAGGGATTTTATCATAAGTTTAATTACCTCATAAGGAACATAATATAATTGTTGTATGTCTTTGACTGGCTGCTGATATGTGCTGTCCTAAACAGCCTGAAATGTCTTTTACAGACATTGTCGAAGCTTTGTTCGATGTAAAGGAAACGCTTTACTGTACTCGCAACTAAAACTTCTTTCTTCTACAATGTTACAGAAACAAACGTTTATACCATTCTTAAGTAGACCCAACATTTTTATCTTTTAATAATACTTTCTCGATGTCAGTGTAAATAATATGTTGTATTAATGCACCACTCTTCTCTCCGTCGTGCACAACACACACACTCACACATAGATAACAATGAACGAATGAAAACATTTTCTTTCAACGAATCTTTTTATGTTTATGTTGTGAGCTTTATCACAGTTATTAATCAGGCCATGAAATACTATTAATTGTATTTCACTTATTGTTAGAAAGAAGGACTCTGATGTAAATACACTAATATTTTAACGCCCCTCGTAAGGCAGAAAAAAGGCCTTCGTCCTGGATCCTGGGGAGAAGTACCCTTAAGTACGAAACTGCAAATTTGAGATAAAAACCCAGATTATGTAAAGAGAGAAATGGAGTTTACTATAATTTTATAAACTGAAAGCCCGACTCCAAAAAATTCAAAAATCATTCCTAAAACACCGGTATCTTTTTTTTTTAAATGTCTGACCTTTAATGTCCTAAATATGACATAAAAACATTGAGCGCTTTGTCCCTTGCGATGCGAGATGCGATGAGAAATACAACTTACATCAAAATCATGTTCGAAACTCAAAACTCAGTGTGACTCTGTCTCTCTCTCTCTCTCTCTCTCTCTCTCTCTCTCTCTCTCTCTCTCTCTCTCTCTCTCTCTCTCTCTCTCTCTCTCTATCTATCTATCTATCTATCTATCTATCTATCTATCTATCTATCTATCTATCTCTCTATATATATATATCTATCTATCTCTCTCTCTCTCTCTCTCTCTCTCTCTCTCTCTCAACTGCTCACACTCTCTTTTGCTGTCTCTCTCATTCTCTCTCTCTTTCTACGTGAAAAGGTAGTCTCACCAATCCATGAACAAACGAACACAAACATACTGAGAGAGAGAGAGAGAGAGAGAGAGAGAGAGAGAGAGAGAGAGAGAGAGAGAGAGAAAGAGAGAGAGAGAGAGAGAGAGAGAGAGAGAGCATAAGGAGAGAGAGAGGGGGAGGGGAGGAAAATACGACCTAAGGTCCATCGCATTAATTGGAAGTAGACACTCAAGGGAAACAGCAGATAATTGCGCGAAAGAATACACATCCATCTCAACATAAGGGCTGTCTGATTTCTTTTTAAACCCTGACTACAGTCAAGTTGGGTGGAAATAAAAAGTAGACAAGTAGATTGTCAAGCAAATAGAGGGCAAACGTGGGAACAATAACATATTTTTACATCGATAGAGTTCGTCTACCGACAGCAATAGCGTACTCAATCACTATAAATCAATCAATCATTTAAAATTTCAATTTCATAACATAATACCATGCATTTAAATACCTAAGCCTCCTATTTAAACCTTTTCAGGTTGGGGGGGGGGGGGGGGTAGTACTATGTAAAAAGTAAAGTTGTTCCCGCATCAGATCGGACATTGGGGATTGCCCTGTTAGTGAGACAACTTCCTGGGCCTTCGGCATATTACTTCCCCAACTCGAAATCAGGTACCCTTTACTGCTGGGTGGGCAGGAGGGGGGGGGGAAGGGTGGCGAGATAAATCCGTGTCCGAACCGAGGCTCAAACCCGGACTTTCCGCTTCGGAGACAAGCGCATTAAAGTTGTTCCCCCTTCCGATCCGGATATTGGGGATTGACTTGTTAGTAAGACAACTTCCTGGGCCTTCGGCATTAACTGCGGTAGGGTGGCCAGTTCCTTTTCACGCCGCCTTTACTTCCCCAACTCGAAGTCAGGTACCCATTACTTGCTGGGAGTACTATGCACTATACATTAATGACTGTGATGATGATGATGATGATGATGATGATGATGATGATGATGATGATGATGATGATGATGATGATGATGATGATCATGATGATCATGATGATCATGATGATCATGATGACGTGCACGTTTTTGAAAGGGAGGGGATCAAGGACAACCCTACGTTATTGCCAGCGCTTCTACGCAACTTCAAAGTGGAACAATATTCCTTGAAAGAGTTGGTAAAAAAAAACAACTAAAATAGTCTCGAAATCGAACTCTGTTCAAACATCAGGGAAGTGGAGAAGTTCGTAAACAATTTTTCAAAATAGTTTATCATATTGGTCAAAGAGACGAAACTGGTCTTATGAAAAGGCACAAAGTGACACTAAAACAATGTAAGACTTCTATCCCACTATAAGATATCAAGAAGATCGAACCCTTAATTTCTAGAGTGGCGAGCAGTGTAGTCTCATAATAAAGTGACCTGCTAATTGGCTCTAACGACCACCCCTAAAAGATTAGTGCAAACGATCACTCCTATTCCCGGTTTAATTTTTTCGTAGATTTTAATGGTATTATATGCTTTAATTATCAGTCAAATGACAGTCTAAGAGGAACAATAAAAGTAAAGGTGTCCCCGCATCCGATCCGGACATTTGGGGATGTCCTTGTTAGTGAGACAAGTTCGTGGGCCTTCGGCATATTGTGGTAGGGTGGCCATTTCCTTTCCACGCCGCCATTACTTCCCCAACTCGAAGTCAGGTGCCCATTACTGCTGGGTGGGCAGAAGGGTGCGAAAAAATCCGTGTCCAATCAAGAGGAACAGTACAGTATAAAAATACAGTCGACCTGCTGACCTTTTCTAACGC